AGAACAAGATGAGGCAGAAAGTGGGAACACACTCCTTTGCACAGGCACCAAACAAAATTCTTCAATCATTCACTTAATCAACTCAATCAAGAAACACTTACCGAGTACCTGCCATGGACCAGACACAATTGTTGGTTCTGGGATGCTACCAGGAACAATGGTGTTTCCATGGCTAAACTTATGTCTATAACTGAAAGATTGACACTTTGTTCAGCCACTCTGCTGAGCAAAGATCTGGCATTCTGCATCTGTAAAGTTTATGGGGTTAGAGACCCTGTAGGGAAGTTCTACCCTTTACTGTAGGTCTGGTGCAAAGCAGTAGGTTGTATAGAATTGGGCGAAAAGATGTTGCCTTGGACTGTCGCACAATGCCTCTTTGAAGTGTTGAAGGACTGTGAGGACTTAAGGGAGCCTCATTCAAGCCATGGCTTTTCAATCACCTCATATGCATGTGAAAGTTGGACATTGAGTAAGGAAGGCCAAAGAAAAACCAGTGCATTTGAATCACGGTGCTGTTTGGTAGCAATTGTACAATATTGCTCAATGTGATTGAGCTATGGAATATTATGATGTCTGGATTAGCTCCAAATAACATAGTTTGAAAACAATGAAAGAATATTGAAAGTACCATGGACTGCCAGAATCTGTCTTGAATGAAGTAGAGTTCTCAGAAGCAAGGATGGTGAGATTTTGTCTCATGTTCTTTGGACATGTTATCAGGAGAGACCAGTCCCTGGAATAGGATGTCATACTTGGTAAATAGAAGGGCAGTAAAAAGAGGAAGACCCTTGATGAGATGCATGGACACAGTGGCTGCAGCAGTGGGCTCAAACATAAGATCAATTGTGAGGCTGGCGCAGGAGCAGCAGTGCTTTGCTCTGTTGTTCATAGCTTAGCTGGAGCCAGCACCCACTCAACGGAGCCGAAAAACAACATATTCAACAGCACCCAATGGCAACATGAGTCAGAATTGACATCACAGCCACGTTTGGTTTTCTAACTGGAGTACCGTCATGAATGGCCAAGTCTTGCTCTCATGAACCATACATGCATGTGGGAGGAGATACACAATAAATAGACACCCCCCCCAAAAAAAACCAAACACACCTGATAGTGTGTTAAGTGATAAGTGTTTCACAGGAAAAATAATTTTAAATTAGGGTAAGATGGGTCAAAGAAGACACATCTAAGTCAATATCTAATGAGCCAATGAGTCACCATTAAATCTCCCAGCAGCCTTACAAGATGGATATTATCACCTCCTTGTTAACAGTTATAACCTCCATGAGCTGTGTGCCTGGAAGGCAGTCGTTTACCCTCTCTGAGTCTTCCTTGCCTGCATGATAGTTTTCATGCACAGAGCACAGTGTGTGCTGCAAAGCAATCAGTCAAAAATGACCCTTCCACAAGGACTCAAGAAAACAGTTCTAATTTATATCAACCCTATAGGACA